CAATGCAGGCAAAAGAGAAAAGAAGACTTTAAAAAGGAAAAACGAAACAACAGAAAAGTTTGGAACTGAGGTGATAACGACTATCGAGTCGGCAAAATAGATGTCTCCAAGAACGCGAGCTCGAAAGACAACATAAACATGAGTATGGACAGAGGAAAAAAGTCGAGTTCACAAGCGGTCCTACCCTGATTCGAACAGGGGTTGTCGGTATCAGAAACCGAAGTGATAACCACTACACTATAGAACCGTCTGGCTGTTCGTCATAATCTAATAAATATTTTCAAAGAAATTTTTTGGCAAAGGAGGTGTTCTTCCATTCATTTTTCTATTTGTGGGGCTGGGCAACTGGGCGGCCAAGCCGCCCCCGCAACCTTGAAGGCATAGCCCACAAATTTAAATAGTTGAACTCCGCCTGTGCATGTCTTTTACACAACCACAAAAGAATGTTTTCCTCCTTGTTCCCTCGATATAAAATCTGATCTGATAGAACCCAAAAAAGCCGTTTTTTATTCCACACCAAACTTTGGCAAAAACAACAACAACTACTACTACCAAAAGACCAACAACAACAAGGAAACTCTACAGCAATCATGATGTACCGTGTCGCCGCACCCAACGAGTATCTCGTAATAACAGGTGTGGGAATCCCCGATCTTCACATTTGTAAAAAGTTCTTTGTCAAACCCGGCCAACGATGCGCAAGGTTCATTGTCACCCCCGTAAACTACGAAATCTCCATCAACGCCATGTCCCAAGAAAAACTTGAATTCGAACTCCCTACCGTCTTCACCATTGGTCCAAAAGATGATCTTGCCAGTTTGACGAAATATGCAAAACTATTGGCAAATGTTGCTAATAACGATAACTCGCCAAATGCTGCCACCAGTAAACATTTACAAGAGTTGATCAGGGGTATTATTGAAGGAGAGATGAGAGTGATTGCTGCTTCGTTGACGATCGAAGAGATTTTCAAGGACAGGAAAAATGTAAAGGATAATGTTGTTCATCATGTTCAAACTGAACTTGATCACTTTGGTTTGATTATTTACAATGCCAACATCAAGCAGGTAAGATATCATTCAGTATTGCCTCATTTGTTTGTTTCCTTGTATGGTCCTTTGTTTCTTTTTTTATTATTGTACACCCAAACCCTTCATATTAACAACTTTCCCCTTCTTTAAACATTATACAATCATACAATCGCGCTGAATAGCTCCATGACTCGTCTGGTTCCGAATACTTTCAATACATGCGCTTGAAAACCCACGAAGGTGCCGTCAACCAAGCCAAAGTCGACGTTGCCGAAGCCCGATACCGCGGAGACGTAGGAGAAGCCGAACGCAAAGGAAAAACTCGTCAAGAAAACTCTCGTATCGAAGCCGACACGGTCGTCGCCGAAAACCAACGCAAAGTCCTAATCGCAAACGCCCAAACCAAACTCGATCTTGAAACGACCGGTCTTGATCTCAAAGTGAAACTTGCCAAGGTGGAAGCTGAAAAGGCTGAAGAGTCTCGTTTGGCAGAGTTACAAGCCGAGGTTGAAGTAAAACGTGCTGCTGCGGAACAGGAACGTCTTAGGGCTGTCCAATTGGCGAAATCAAAGGTTGAGGCTGAACAAACTGTTACCGGGGCTGATGCTACATTGTACAAATCAAAGAGGGAGGCGGAAGCCAAAATGTATGCTCAAGAAAAGGCGGCAGAGGCTCAATTGTTCAAGACGCATAGGGATGCCGAAGCTGAATTGTATTCCCAACAGAAGGCTGCTGAGAGTTCGTTGGCAAAGATCAGGGCCGAAGCCGCGGGTGTTGTTGCTCTTGCTGATGCAAATCTGTATAAAGCTACCAAGGAGAGTGAGGCTCAGATGAAGGCGGCGGAGGGTTTGCAAGCAATGTTTGAAGCAAAGGCTATGGGTCTCAAGGCTCTTTCAGAAGCATTTGGGTACGCGACTTTGTTTTTTTCTTTTACTTTCTTTTATTATTGCTCTCTATATTGTCTTGCTTGCTACCAACAATTTATCTATAACTGACATCCTCGGTTTAACTCTCAATTCACCAGTGGAAACTCGTCCGCCGTAATCCAATATTTGATGATCGAAAAGGGCATATATCAAGACCTTGCAAAATCCAACGCGGAGGCCATTCGTGGATTACAACCAAAAATGAACATCTGGAACACCACTGGCGCGCCGGGCGATATGGATGGTACCGCTGGTGTTGCAGACCCCATGCGTCCCCTTCGATCAATGCAGTCGTTGATTCCACTCATCAGCAATATCAACGAAATGACTGGTATCAAACCACCAAACTGGGTAGCTCAAATTCCGGACATTGCATCTTCTGCAGAAACAGTTCCCACATCAGTAGCAGCTAATCTCCGCAAATAGTGATTTTTTTTATCCATTCGTTTCTATTAGCATTTTGATTCTTTTCTCATAAATAACAAACCAAATTTGGTTTTAGAATACACTATGTACATTTTAATAACAAAAAAAAACCTATAATAACAGTCCTCTCACTTGGTTCTTTACCCCATCTGACACCTCAAAAACTAGCATAACAATCTCTGTACAAATCAGATTAAGCATTTTCCATACCAGCATCTCGCTAAAGTGTTGTCGACCATGGTGGACTTTGTATCGAGCTGGTACCGACGATAGCAATGATATGGCTCTTGATAATCCATCCCCCCACAACCCAACCAATTCTTCATGCTCTTGCATGCCATGAACAACTCGAAATAAAGCACTCATCTCCGTGCCATTCAAGGAAGCCTGCCGATCCTTATCATAACTCGGCAAAATGACATTGACACCTCCATTTCCCAACACTTCCATCTGTGCCGCTGCGATGGCAACTCGTCCGAAACCCTTTCTCCAGTCTGACAGTTGCGGTGATAGCAACCGTAATATTAGATCTATGGTTTCGTTGGATCTCTGCACGGAAGGTGATAGTGTTGCAGGTGATGATGATGATAAGGGACTTGTTGATTCGGCCTCGTCCAGACAAAAGTTTAGATCGGCCAGAATCTGCTGAAGTATTTGGGTTACCATATCGAGTGAAGGTTTGATTGGCATTGCTGCTGTTTTTCTTATCGGTGAGATATCAGGGGTGAAAGAGGCATTGTGATCTAAACGGGAGGGACGTGGCCGGTCGATAACGATCGTGGACGAGGTCTCTACCTGCATTTTATTATCAGGTTCGCCAGACTCAAAGTCTTCATCATCATCTTCATCATTGGCCATTGAGTTGCTGTTTTCATGACCGCCAGATGGAACCAGTTTTCGTTTGTTGCCCGCCAGTGTTGAAGAAGGGGGTGTGAGAGTGATGAAGGCGACGCAGGGATCATTGATGGTTGTTGTTGACATGTTGAAGGCACTGCAATTGCAATAAGTCTGAAAAATTCCGCAAACTCTATTTATATTCCTCCAGATCGATCACATTCTACCCGCCCTGATCGTCACAATTCAAACCACCCCTGCAATCCTTATCAAACATGAACTTTCTCTCAAACAAACTAAAGCAAGCATCAGACTATGCCTTTGGCACCAAGTATACAGCAGAACCATTGTACAATGGTCCATTTCATGTTGTCATCATAGGAGGTTAGTAAATGCAACACTCTTGTGTGCATTGGTCATTACTAGGCCATCCTGACCCTTCTTCAACTTAGCATCTTTCGCTGGTCTTGCTGTCGCAATGTCTTTGGATGATGCATATAAAGAAACACCGGACATCATTCATCTAAGTAAGTACAGAGACGAAAGGTTTTCAGCTTTTGTGGATGGAGCAACCTAATGTCCGTAATACAGCTATTATAGATCCAAACCCAGACCACACAATCCACACTCCAGGTCACCCTCGCGCGCTTGTAGTTCCAAACTTTTCTCCACAAATATATATACCAACGACCAAATGTTTAAAGCACCTTACACCGAGATTCATTCCAGGTCATGTAACCGAAATCCATTCAACCCACGTTCAGGTGACAACA